AACTGTCCCGCTTACGCTGTATACATTTTCTCTGCCTGTCTGAAGGTTAACTTCCGCCATCTTGGCGTACACACCTTGTAATGTTGCCCGCTTCTCTGGAGGAATGGACCTGAAGACCGCCAGAGCGTCATCGTCCGGCACTGTCGGCAGAGCGACCAGTGCTTCCTCCTCCGACCAATGGACCGACCGGAACGCCGCTTCGAATCTCCAGGTGAAGGCGTTCCAGTCGCCGCCAGCTGCAATTAATTCTTTAACGTGGGGAAGATGACGTCCACGATCGATGACGCTGCGCGCGACAGCAGTGGTAGCAGCGGCAGCCGCCCCCTTCCCAGCACGCGGCTCGTCGGAAATGGCGGCCACCATATCCGCCTTCGCCGCACTGTCCAAAATGGCGGCGTCCAGCCGCGTGGGCGACTCCGGTCGTGTAATGGCAGATGGCCCATCTGCGTGAACAATGGCAGACGATTGCTCCTTGTGCACGATGGCGGACGCTGACTCCGCGTGTGTGATGGCGGCCGTCACCCCAGCTGAGGAGCCCATCGCAGCCGCCTCGACCTCTCGATCACCGCTTCCTGGGGGCAATGGGAGTGGACGTCCCACCACCGTGGACGTCGCTACGAGCGAGACGAGCTGGAGAAGAATGCCCCGCAGCGACTTTTCCACCTGTCGTCGGGCCCTACGGATGAAGGTGCTGCGACCGCGGTGCCCACGCCCGAAGCAGTAACTTCCTCGGCCGTGGCACTTGTAACCGGGACCACGGGTCCCGGGTTCGGCTGGTCCAGGGTCTCCATTTCATCGTCGTCTGAAAATTCCACAGGTGGGTTCTTCTTTCTGAGGTTTTTAGACACATTTCTCCCTCATGATCGCCTTGTCTTGAAAGGCCACTTCTGACACCACTGTAATGAAATATTTCCACGACGATGCTTGTTGGGCTGCTTCTTTATTCACAACGGTACAGCACAGCTTCACTTCCCCTCCCAATAATTTTACTCTCCCAACCCGTGGACGAGGCACCTCTCTCTCTCTCCGCGTTCCCACGAGGCTCACTCCACTCTCCGGCCTCGCCGCTGGCGTGCTAGAAGCGGAGGCGAGCTTCGAGGGAAGATCTGCCACGTGGCCCGTGGCAAGGAGAAGGGCAGCGCCGCCGTCCGGAACCCAGGCTTCCACACCGACCCCAAACCTTCCCCCAGATCTCCCTTATATCCCCCTTGGTGGAGCTAAGCCCCGCCTCTGGCCACACCCCCTCGGGGAACCTTCTCCACTAGACAGCCTCCTTTATGGCCTTGTCTCACCAGTCTTAGACCAGGGAACAATGCCATAAGGCATATTATTGCCAGAAAAGGTTAAAGCCTATTCTTTCTGAAAATAAATTATGTATGATAAGCTTGCATTGTCACGATAGGTTGATATACAGTGCTAATGGTGGGATTGAGTCAAAAGTGATTTTCCATGGTCTGTAAAAGCTGAGCGTTATGGTATTCATGTTCATGCATCGTTCCAGATGTGGTCGATGGTGGAGAAAGCTTTCTTCAAACAACTGTGTTGGCTTGGTTGGTTGGCTTCTCCAGTAACCTATATTCTGTTCCCAATTATCTTCATTAATAATTACCTACGTGCGAAAATAAGTCAACGGGTCTGCATATCCGTCATGTAACGGCATTAGGGAAATATCAACTGCTATTTATTCAACTGCCGTTAATTAAAGTTCAAGTTTATTATGTTTATCCAGGTGAGAACTCAAGATCACGTATGAGTGTAATTTGGAACAATTATCTAGGTTGCCTGGTTTGTTATTTGTGAATCTAGTATTTGTTTTAACCCTCCTTCATGCTGCATTGGTCATGGGAATTGTTTGACCGTACTTCACCACGCTGAGCAATGCGGGCTGGTGAAAACCTTTTTATTCTGGCGTAACTACATTATCAGCTCAGGGGGTGTGGCAATTGGTTCAGGTTGGGCCCCAATATTTGATTTATCTCGCACGGTCGCACCTCGGCTATATATCGCGGCTCCTCTTATCTAATCACATCGTTATGCTCAAGGTCTCGAACATTTAACGCTGTAGGGGCGCGCCGTCTTCGCAAATGCAGCCACAACAGCTCGGTAGCACCTCTTTAGAATATCATTGATACGTATCTAATGCAATAAATATCCCAGAAACGGAGTTTTATGTGAAAGCATTTTCATAAAATTAATTTAAACCGCGTTTTAAATAAGTTTTTTGTTATTTATACGTAAAAATATATCTCATGGTGGTTGTCAAGGGGGCCCCAACTCCTAACTTTGGCCACCAGGGGTTGTCACGGTGGCGAGATGTTAAATACCTCGCTGGTATGCAGGAGGTCGTGGGTTCGAGCCCATACCTTATTCTTCGCCTAGTGGCCCTATACACCTCAAAGTTCATCCTACAGAGTCCCATCACAAGGGATAAATACAAACAGGCAAAAAAGTGTTTGCCCGTATTGAAACGGCTAGGGCTGAACGATTAATGGATTTCAAATCGAAATTGCAATTTGAAACAATGCGATTAGCAAATCGCAATGGCTGCGATTTTTAGTGATTTGAAAAGTCTAATAACTTTATTATTGGAATTGTTTTATTATAACTGTATTTATTTAACTTAGGAGCCGGTCGTCCATAAATGACGTCACGCGATTTTGGACGATGTTTGACCACCCCCCCTCGTCACATGGCGTCACAAAAATTCAGACCCCCCTCAAATATGACATCACAAAGCTCTGCCCCCCCCCCCCAAAACCATATTTCCATTTTGAAAATAAGACATGCTTCAAATCGCTTTAAACTATTGCCATTGTAGTGCGTATTTAATCTGGCGCTGCACTCTGATGTTGTAGGAGAAAACACGTATTAAAAAGGAGGCGTTGGAAAGCTTAAATTTAGCATAAAATTCACTTGAAAATATTCAGATTATAATTATAAAATATTAAAAGTAATCTCCATACATAAAAGGCAAAGTTGTGAATGTGTGTCTGTTCAAAATGTGTAGCGTACTTCCCGAAATGCAACAAACTGGAAATTTGCCATGTGGGTACTTTCCAGACTGTACACCATGCAAAAATTACACTTTTTTTGGGGGGGGGAGCTCAATAATTCATATATATTTTGCACGGTGAGCTGTGACGTCAAATCTGTCACGTGACCCGCGCATGTGGAAGCGTTATGCATTGTAGTGGAGTGGTTGGCGCGCCGCGCTATGAACCCGGCGACCCGAGTTCGATTCCCGCTCACGGCCACCACCAGTAACGATTATTTCAGCCGCTCCTGTGCCTCCCCTAGGTCGACTCAGCCTCAACCGAGTAACTGGTGTGGTGTGTGTACATCGCTACTGGGGAGACAAAGGCGGTCGGGCGTGGTGGATCCAAGTCCCGGGCGAAGCCGGGGTAGTACAGCTAGTTATACCTATAAATAAAATACTTGAAACGTTGTAGTAGAACGAAACAAACTGGAGAGTACAATTATAGCAATCACATATTCATTCCATAGAATGAAAAGCCCTGGTAGAATTAAGATGTTTAATAACAATCATTAAACATTTTTTCAAAATGTATGCTTCTCCAATCTCCCATGGAGAAACAAAATGCTCCTTCATGGAATAAATAAAAGGTGACCTTAGTCAATTTAAATAAACAAATAGTTAATCATGAAAATTAATCAAAATTAGCGCTGTTGGGAAAATTATATATTTATTTAAAGTTGCGCATTTTGATGTGACGTCACATTTCTCAAACCCCCCCTCCTCGTCACACATCGTCACAAATGTCTGACCCCTCCCTCCCAGGTGCGTGACGTCATTTATGGAGGGCCCCTTAACAATTGTTCTGTTTGGTTCTATTTAAATTAAACATTTTAATAAATACATGTTGGAAGCAATTAATATATTTTTAAGTTCTCATCCTTGCATTAGAATATATAGAGCAGTTCATATTTTGATGGTGTCTTGTTGGTAATGCTCCATCACATGTTTTATATCTATTACACAGTGAATATTGAACTGAAGCTTGACTTAAAAAAATGTAATCGCAAATCAAATCGAAATATCTGTCAGAAAACGGCTGTACGCCATACGAACCTGAAAACTCAATTTCCCTGTACAACAATACGGGATGCCGACCGTGACGCCTGTATATTTGTAGTTTGCTTGTCTCTCTCTCTCTACCCGTGGTCGCGTGGATTTGTCGCCGGGTCCTCCGGTTTTTCTTTCCACATTTAGAATCAACATCACGCGTTCAGAGGACTTGGCGACTATAAATGTCCACATTACAAGCTTAACACTTGTGGGTAGGCCGCTTTTGAAGAAACAGCTATATAGCTCCTGTGGGCCTTACCTGCTAAAAAGTTTCATAGTTTTTCATAGTAACGCTCCTGACTAATTTTGTCCCCACTGGAAATTTGATAAATTGCAGTGCGTCCCATAACACGTGCTATGGAGAAACGGCCATTGACAACGGGACAAGTGCGCATGGACCGTGGCATCGAGCGGCGCTCTGCGGGGCAAGTGGGCGCGGCTCCCCCGGCCCCGCCCCCCCGATCGCTCTCTTTCCCCCTCGCGGATTAAAAACAGAAACAACTGGAAGCGTATCGCGCAGAGGCACTCCGGCAAAGTCACGGTCACACAGAGGAACGTAACGATTCTCAGCCAATCGTTCTTGCCCGGATCGATTTATTCTTCTCCCCCATGTTTGTCCATGCATCACATTTATCAGCGCAAATATATTAAATACATAGCGGTATAAACGTACGGCAAAATTAATATTTCTAAAAAAAATTTACGATATCGCACGGATCAATACGCGAATAGTGGGGCGTAGTAATCGATCGGGTAGGTCTGGGGATCGATCCGTTCGTAATCGCAAAAGCCGCCCGTCGGGCGGGGGGCTGTGCAGCGGGCGGGGCGACCGGGGGCTGTAGTGGAGGCGGGGCCAAGGGGGGGGAATTCCCGGCATGCCCCGCGCGGGATATATAAGGCGGGGGCGGGTGAGCCGGCGCGTCAGACGACGCGGAGTTCGCGTCGAGCGCGGGGTGGCGGAGCGTGCCGGCCGCTCGGCTCTTACATAATAAAGACACCACCACCACCACAGTAACAGAGAGGAGGGAACGCAAAGACAACCGAGACGGGACCGACAAAAAACACACACTCGGGGCCAAGGACAGGCAGGCCTCGAGGCCCTCCTCGCGACGCCATGGACGAGAGGAAGGAGGCGGCCGAGGCGGAGATCCAGGAGCACTGCCCCGAGCACTGGTTCTCCATCTGGGAGCGCGAGTGTCTGGACGACGCCGAGCAGGAGGCGCCCGAGGAGGACGACCGCCTCGCCCTGGAGAGGGAGCAGGCGGCGCAGAAGCTGTGGCTCTCGTTTCAGAACTCGGCCACGGCGGTCGCCCAGCTCTATAAAGGTGCGGAAGAAAGCCCTTCCCCCAACACCCCCCCCCCCCCGGCGAGTGACGTTCACGGGGCCTCGAGGCGGGCGGTGGCCCCGGCTCGAGTGGCGGGTCGGGCGGGCGGGCGGGCCGGGCGAGCCGGGCTCGCAAAGCAGCCGAGGGCCCAAAATGGCGATTGTGAAGAATATGGCCGATAGTGGTGGTTTGTAGTGTTGATGATGGTGCATACACTGAGCGTCGTTTTGTTGTTGAGAGGGTGAGGCCCCTAGGTGGTGAAGGTGGCGTTGATGGCGGTGGAGGTGATTATGGTGAGGTGTTGGCAGAGGCGGCAGTGGCGATGGTGGGAGCGATGGTGGTGGGGAATTACGGTGACCGTTGAAGGTGGTGGTGGTGGGAGTGATGACGCTAGCGGTGTGGGAGTGAAGACGATGGTGGTGGCAGCATTGGTGGGGTGATGTGAGTGGTGGCAGTAGTGATGGATACCGTGATAATTTCGAGTGGCTGGTTGTAGGGGTGATGTTTATAATGGCAGTAATGATGTTGATCCAGTTGGGCGTGATCATGGTTGTGATTTGACGATTGTTACTGTCGGTTATGGTTGAAGTGATGATGGTGCCGTGAGTGATTAATAGTGGAGGATGCGTAAGATCGCTGAGGGTGATTATTATGGCTGTGGTCGTGGTGGTGGTGGTGATTGTTTTGGGGCGAGTGATTGGTTTATTTGGTGACAGTGGTGTGATAGTTGAGTGATTGAGGTGTGAGTGATGACAACGCGATGTTGATGACTTAGGTGGTGGTGGTTGTCATGACGATTATTACTATAATAATTGAGGTGGTGTTATGAGTTACAATTATTATCGATAATTTGGTGTGGGTAATGGTGGTGGTGCTGATTGGCGGTGCGGTGTAATGCCGATTATGGCGCTGGTGGTATTTGTAATTGTGACTTTAATCGATTAAGTTGTTGGATGTGGTGATGTTCACAGTGATGACGATGATGTTGTTGGTGAGCATTATCATGAAGATGATGACAATGATAACCATGATGATGCTGCTGCTTCAGTTTGCTAGGATCGGGGCCTGTAGTCGCCAGCCATTGTTTATTATGCGGGGTGGGGTGATGGAGGAGTGGCCCCTTGGAGCATGGTCGCCTGGTCTCATTCGCAAGGGCAAGCACATTGGACGTGGGGGGAGGTTAGGGGGGGGTCTCTTTTTAGGGGTGCTTAGCTGCGGTTTTATAAAACGTGGCTTATTAAACGTAAATGAATGCACCACCACAACCCAGGGGTGGATGAAGACATCCTTTTTACATTCAAATATTTCCCTTGGAAGATCCGTTGATAGGGAACGTGTCGTTCGCAATGGTGTCAACTGTCGGATGCATTGGTCTGAGTACGCCTTATGGCACTGGTATTTTGTACGTATGTTGACTTTCTTTCGCACCGTACGTAGCCAAACATGCTAATCGGAGGTGCGGAGGAAGGACAACAAACTGAAATAATTGTACGAGCAATTTATTATTTTTCAAGAATGGTGGACTACATATTTATTTCTGAGTTGGTCGCAATAGTTTGACATGCTTTGCCCAAGTGAAAAGGCACTTCATGAATAAACCAATGTATAATCACGTGGGCCCAAAGAGTGACCAATGTTGAAGTAAGAAAAGGATTCCACATAGAAGAAGACGTGATGCAGGCAGTGATGAGAAGGAAACTGGTGCTGTTTGGACACGTGTGGAATGGACAACAGCAGGAAAATTAAAAGTGCTATTTGGAAAAATGGAAGAAACAGGAAAAAATTGAAGATCTCAGAGAATTTATTGACAACATGGGAGATTGGTGCCAGAAAGATGTGCACCACTTGACCATATTGGCACAAGACAGATTAGATTGATAGTGGAAACGAATGGCGAAAGGTGCAGTGGACACCTACGTGGGCTATCTCCCCATGGAGTGTGGTGGTGATGATGATAACTACGTATTTTTTATTGCTTGGAACGTATATCTGAAATTGTGGCACTTGTGTCCCCACAGACCGCGTCTGTAGTGAACACCTAAGGGCTATCTGTCCATGGAGTGTGATGATGATAACCACGTATTTTATATCGCCTTGAATGTATGTCTGAAATTGTGGTACTCGTGTCTTCACAGACCGTGTCTGCCAGCAGCAGGGAGTCTCCTTGTGGATCCCCTTCCAGAACGCTGCCTCGGCCGTCACGAACCTTTACAAAGGTGCGGGGCGCTGTGCGTGCGTGTCCTGTGTGGCACAGCGAGTGGGCTGCATTTGTTAAGTGTGCGTGTCCGGTGTGCCACGACGGGCAACATCTTCATAGGTGCTCACTAACAGCACTTGCCTAAACAGTCTGTTACAGGCTATACGGGGGATCTTTGTCTTTGTTGGGCAGCACGGGTGAGATGTCTGTGTCCTTTGTGGCAGAGTGGGCCGCACGGGTGATGTTTCTGTCATGTGTGGCACATTGAGTGGGAAGCACTTGTGACGTGTGGAGTGGTAGTGAAGTGGTTAGCGCGCTGCGCCATGAACCTGGCAACCCGAGTTCAATTCTTGCTCACGGCCAACACCAGTGCCAATTATCTGAACCGTTCCTGGGCCTTCGCTCGGTCGACTACGCTGAAAATGAGTACCTGGTGTGTGAACATCACCACCGAAGAGACAAAGGCGGCCGCGCATGGTGCTGGCCCCACACACCCCCTCGTGTGTTGTGGTGGCTTTCATCGGTGCTTGCTAACAGCACTTGCCCAAACAGTGTGTTAAGGTTATACAGGGGATCTTTGTGTGGCACAGTGGATAGCATGGGTGATGTCTGTCCTGTGTGGCACAGTGTTTGGGCAGCACAGGTGGTGAATCTGCTCATCATTATAGTCGGTTAACCCATAACAACTGCGTCTGACCTGCCAGCGAGACTCCAACAATTGACGTGTCTTCAAAGTGCACCTAGCCTGGCACAAAACGCTTTCGTAACAAACGGCGGCTTTTGTTGTCGCTTCTTGTTTGTGTCTGTCAGCCGTGCGTGAGCACTGGATCTATATTTCAGCTGTGTCTGTGTGGAGCAGTCATAGTGGTTATCGCACTGTGGTGGTACAGACCTGGCAACCCAAGTGTAATTCCCTGCCATAGCTAATATCACTGGCAAGTGATGTCTGAACATCTTTAGGGTCAACTCAGTTTGACATTGTGGAAACACTGGCAAGGTGGCAACTCAGACTCGACTTATGGCTTATGGAAAGGTTAAACTATTGAATTCTGTACAGTGAATAATTATATATATAAAAATATTGCAAAACCCCGCTACAATAATGATGCAACGCTTGTAGATTTGGTTGCCGAGTGTTGTTTGCTTTTGACAACTCCGTTTTGGTGTAAACCGTGTTTGCGTTTTTTTTTCTGTTAATAGTGTCGGTGAGCGCGTGTCTATATCTTTAGTTTATCTGCGTTTGTCCCTGCTTGTGTTAGTGTCCATCAGATGTGTCCATACACACATTCCTGTCATGCCGAGTCCTTGCGTGTGCGAGCTGTGTCACTATTGGCACGAGTACTAATAGTGATGTGGTCATCATTGCCCTGTACGCTGTGCAGTTTTTAGTTTTTTGAGCTTCGGGCGTATAAAACAGAAGTTGTTAATATTTAGGGGTCCCCAGAAACACCCCCCTCTCACCCTCCTCCCATTGTATGTAGTACACAGAAAATCCACACGTGTCATTTTCGACAACTCTCCATGCATGTATGCGTGTGCTGCTATGAATTGTTGTATGTTTGCGCAATGCCTTGCCTGGACGCAAATGTGGAAGGTTGATTGACGTCTGCCGTTTTTTTTTACAATAGATCACAATTGGTTTTTAGTAAACATTACTCACAGCTGATGTATGGTGCTCTGCAGCTTTTAGGCGGGATTTTAAACTTCTGATAAAGCTGAGGGAGGAGAGTCATTGTGGCGGTATTTGTTAACTTTGAAGTGCTTAATAATGTATTTGAGTCATTCTAACGATTTTCACTGAGAAATTGCAGTTGATGTTTAAATCCGGTTCATGTTGTCGTGGCATGTTGACAGTATGAGGTCGGGTACTGTTTACCAACTATAATTGTGTCTATTTAATTGTCTCCTGTACATTCCAACCATGGTTACTTTATGAAATCTGACCAGGCTTCTTGTGCAACTTAATCATCTCTCACTATTAGACCGCGCACAGTATCGGTACGCAGCTTGTGTTTAAAAGTATTTTGTCGACAAGTCATAAATATCACTGAGGGTCAGAGTATTACAGCACGTGTATCTTATTGTATTATGGGGATGTATTGACCACACGTTTACCTCGTATAACCATATCTTACTCGGCAGCCATGAATACAGATTGGTGTGAACAAAGGGCCTAGGTTGAGATGTCGTACCGAGTGAGGTGTTTTGAAGATGTGTGTAAGGCAGACACACAGGGGAAACTGTCTTGCCTACTGTTTTTAATGCAAGCCTGTTCGTCCATCTACACATTATGAGGGTACTTTAAACAAACATTTACACACAAAATAGGTACATAATGTTGGCACGCTACCCTGCCATACTCTAAACTACTTGTACAAATGTACGTTGAACTTTTTTTGCACCATACGCAGCCAACCGTGCTCATCGGGAAGTGCGAAATCAGAGGTACTTCAGTACTTTCAGAGCGGAGCAATTATAATGAAGTTGGCTTCCGAGAAACAAAGCGCATGCACATGATGCAACACAAGCGAGAGAGAGGCCTTGTTGATGGTGGCTGTCTCTCCAGTTAAATTTTGTTTGGTTTTTGTTTTTGAACGCTATTGCATCTTCATCATCGTCGTCGTCATCAATGCACCCTGTACCTTGAGATGAATGGGTTAAATATGGAATGAGTTAACCTTAACCAAGAAGTAATAAGACTAGTTGTAGTTCAGCGATCATGCTGCAGCTGCTTTGGCTATTCTTTCCTTAGCAGTTGGTTGTACGGACAGCGTGAACATTGTATGCCCGCTGTCTGCATTGTAAAAAGTAACACTGTATGCAATTGAAGGTATTTAGCCATTCCACGCATCATGTGTTTGTGTATATTTATAATCAGGATATTTATAGCGGAGGAATCCAATGAGCTCTACCTCTTTTTCACAGATATCCAGTCAAGGCAGGTTAAAGATTATATAAGAAAGTTGTATTACTGCTTTAGCCTATCATGCCCCTGGGTTCAAAATATTTTATCCTGTTTTGTGACAAGTACTTAGTGGGAGTACGATGGGTCGATGGTTACTTGCCATAGGAATGTGGAATAACCACAACTTGCTTGGGACTGCTGATGGAGATTTGAACTGCCCAAATGCTTGTTTGAGCATTGCAAGCGCTACGACTTTTAGCGCATTAAGTACGTACGTTGAACTGTATGTACGTTGAACCTCTTTCGCACCGTACCGTGCTAATCGGAGTTGCGAAGGAAGGACAACAAACTAAACACAAAAAGCAGTTTGAAAGAACACATGACATGATCCCAGATACTTTACTTTTCTCGCACTAACATATCTAGCTGTTTAGCATTTACAGTTATTGTCTTATTAAAACAGTTACTCGGGAAAAATATCACCAAAAGTACGATTTTCAGTTGCCTACAGAGATTGGTAGCGTTATCGATTGCGCCATTGTGGTAAGATGTTAACTACCTTGCCTGGTATGCAGGACGTCATGGGTTCGATCCCGACCCTGACGCCTGCATATTTGGAGTTTGCATGTTCTCTCCTCGTGGTCGCCTGGATTTGTTTTTGTGGGTCCTCCGGGTTTTCCCTGCACGTTTAGAATCATGCGTTTTAGAGTATTTGGCTGCTAGAAATGTCCACATCATAAGCCAGTTAATTAGGCCATTATTTGTAGTCATGTCACCTCTGAAAAAGAGCTACACAGCTCGGTAAAAAAAACACGTTGTTTTGTTTAATAGTTAAAATGCATTTCATTTAATAGTAAAACAATGCTTCAAAAATGTGGGCAAGTGTTGCTTACATAGTGTTTGGCTGCACAACTCGTCACGTTTTCATTGCCATCGGGTTGTAGTGTAGGCATGGACGAGCATGCTTTCCAAGCGCTTCGTTGCGAGCCCACTGGAAACCTAATGCCAGGGACATTTCAGAACACACTGTTCTACAGAAGCCTGGATATTGACAGTGGGGTCCCGTTCTGTGTGTGTGTGTGGTTGCAAAAAAAAACGCACACCACTTAACACGGGAAGGGTAACGGTCGACGAGTCATTTGATGCTACGATTATGTACTTTGTTGAAATGTCTACACGACATGTACCGGGATTTTTATCTCTTAATTTTTTTCTTTTTCAACGGTAATGAAACAATTTGAATGTCACCAGGTAAGGCCCTCTGAGCTATATCGTTCTTTTTAGAAGCGACCTGGCCACAAGTGATAGCTCAACGAAGTGGCTTATCACGTGGAAATTTATAGTTGACAAATTCTGTAAAAACTTGTGATGTTGTTCCTAAAAGTGGAGAGAAAAACCGGAAGACCTGGAGAAAAATCCACACAACCACGGAGGACAGTGCAAACTTCAAATATATACAGACATCGTCAGGGTCGGGATCGAACCCATGACCTTCTGCATACCAGGCGAGGGAGTCAACATAGCGCCACCGCAGCATCTTGTTCCTCAACCCAATTACATTTAAATCTAAGGCTCTTTCCACTAATGTCTCAATTGAATGAGGCAGTTGCTTAAGCATATTTCTCTAATATATAGTACCTATTTTCCTGGTTTGTTTTAAACAAGGAACTCCATAGCAAGCTGCGTGTCTCCATATTTTATCGTTAACTCATTTGCACCTGTAAAATGGGAATCACAATTTGAATGCTGCATGTTAGGATTCTGGTAACCTTCATTCAGTCTTCTGTAGTTCACGGCATTCCTCAGAAGTTGGGGTATCTATACATCTCGTGGTATTTGCTCGTATGCATAAACAATTAAAATTATCTAAATATATAGTAGAGTGCATCATTATTTACTTGGTAAAGTTTTGTGAACAGCTTTAAGTTACCGTCTTCTCCCGAGCATCAGAAATGTTGACGCACCCCAAACACGTGGCTCGTTTAAAAAAAATTGTCTTGTAATGGGGAGATTATGGTAGTGGTGATTCTGACAGTGCTGCTTTAAAATGAGAGAAGTCTTTTGGAAGGGGATTCCTGAACAACCATATTAGAACTAGTCTTGCTGAAGGAATA